AGTTGAACTTTGTCCCCTTGTGCCGGTGGTCAGTTGAACTTTGTCCCCTTGTGCCGGTGGTCTGTGGAACTTTGCTATCTTGTGCTGGTGGTCAGTGGAACTTTGCCCTCTTGTTCTGGTGGTCTGTGGAACTTTGCCCTCTTGTTCTGGTGGTCTGTGGAACTTTGCCCCTTGTGCCGGTGGTCAGTTGAACTTTGCCCCCTTGTGCTGGTGGTCAGTTGAACTTTGCCCTCTTGTGCCGGTGGTCAGTTGAACTTTGCCCTCTTGTGCCGGTGGTCAGTTGAACTTTGCCCCCTTGTGCCGGTGGTCAGCGGAAATTTGCCCCCTTGTGCCGGTGGTCAGTTGAACTTTGCCCTCTTGTGCCGGTGGTCAGTTGAACTTTGCCCCCTTGTGCCGGTGGTCAGTGGAACTTTGCCCCCTTGTGCTGGTGGTCAGTGGAACTTTGCCCTCTTGTTCTGGTGGTCAGTGGAACTTTGCCCTCTTGTTCTGGTGGTCAGTGGAACTTTGCCCTCTTGTTCTGGTGGTCAGTGGAACTTTGCCCTCTTGTTCTGGTGGTCAGTGGAACTTTTTTTCTAAATGATAATCTCAGTATTCAGGTATAATTGCAGTGTTGGCACTTTGGGATAAGTAAGTGGGTTTTGGGTTGCAGTTTGGGCTCTGAAAGGTTCACCATCACTGGCCTATATACACTGTGCAGAGAAGGGTGTGACACAGCTGGTCAGAGAGGGATCAGTATGACACAGTCAGTTGGAGAGGGATCAGTATGACACAGTCAGTTGGAGAGAGATCAGTATTGCATAGTCAGTTGGGGAGGGATCAGTATGACACAGTCAGTTGGAGAGGCATCAGTATGATGTAGTCGGTCAGAGGGATCAGTATGACACAGTCAGTTGGGGAGAGATCAGTATGATGCAGTCAGTTGGAGAGGGATCAGTATGACTCAGTCAGTTGGAGAGGGATCAGTATGACGTAGTAGGTCAGAGAGGTATCAGTATGACACAGTCAGTTGGGAAGGGATCAGTATGATGTAGTCGGTCAAAGACGGATCAGTAAGACACAATCAGTTGGGGAGGGATCAGTATGATGCAGTCACTCCGAGACCTGGTCGGTCAGAGAGGGATCAGTATGGCGCAGTCAGTCGTAGAGGGATCAGTATGACACAGTCAGTTGGGGAGAGATCAGTATGATGCAGTCAGCCTTCAGAAGGATCAGTATGACGCAATCAGTTGGAGAGGGATCAGTATGATGCAGTCAGCTGGAGAAGGATATGTATGATGCAGTCAGTTGGAGAGGGATCAGTATGACGCAGTCAGTTGGAGAGGGATCAGTATGACTCAATCAGTTGGATGGGATCAGTATGATGCAGTCAGTTGGAGAGGGATCAGTATGATGCACTCAGTTGGAGCAGGATCAGTATGATGCAGTCAGTTGGAGAGGGATCAGTATGATGCAGTCAGTTGGAGAAGGATCAGTATGACGCAGTCAGTTGGAGAGGGATCAGTATGACGCAGTCAGTTGGAGAAGGATCAGTATGACACAGTCAGTTGGAGAAGGATCAGTATGACGCATTCAGTTGGAGCAGGATCAGTATGACGCAGTCAGTTGGAGAGGGATGAGTATGACACAGTCAGTTGGAGAGGGATCGGTATGACACAGTCATTTGGAGAGGGATCGGTATGACACAGTCAGCTGGAGAGGGATCGGTATGACTCAGTCAGTTGGAGAGGGATCAGTATGATGCAGTCAGTCGGAGAGGGATCAGTATGACGCAGTCGGAGAGGGATCAGTATGATGTAGTCAGTCGGAGAGGGATCAGTATGACGCAGTCAGTTGGAGAGGGATCAGTATGATGCAGTCATTTGGAGAGGGATCAGTATGAAGCAGTCTGCTGGAGAGGTATCAATATGACGCAGTCAGTTGGAGAGGGATCAGTATGACTCAGTCAGGTGGAGAGGGATCAGTATGACACAGTATGTAGAAGTGTATAGCAGCGTGCAGAGGGTCAGTTCTGTATTTTCAGCTTTAAAAACACAAAATTCTTGTTGAACTTGTAAAACTTGTCAGAACTAATAAAGTTTGAAGACTTCACTGACACGGACGGCTGTGGGTGGCCCAGCGGGTGTCACACAGTGTATGCGGCCATAGCACAAATGTTTCCAGAGGCGGAGCCTAATCTCTCTGTCTGAACGACAACCTAACAAGAGTTTGTTCGTCTTTTCTGGGGCAGCTGCAGCCCGGGGGCTGGGAAGGTCCCAGAGAATGGAAAGGATTGACACTTTAAACAAGCTACTAGCAGGCTTCAGCAGGCTTTCAACAAGCTGTAAGTTGTGTTGAGGCCTGCTAGCAGCTTGTTTAAGGTGGCAATCAGAACTCCCATTAGGATCTGTGTTCAACATTTACAGCCTGAAGCTGAAGGGAGCTTTGAAAGCTCGCTGTTCACAATACTCACTGAAGCCCTTGGGAAACAGGCCAAGCAAGCTGCTAGCAGGCTTCAGCAGGCTTTCAACAAGCTTCAAGTAGTGCTGAAGCCGGCTAACAGCTTAACACTCGACCTCTGGAGGGGTTTTACCCCCTTCCTTGACAAGGCCATTTTTTTTGCTATTCAGCACTGCGCTACTTTATCTGACAGTTGCACGGGCATGCCTCACTGTGCCCAAATTAAATTTCTATCCTATTTTTCACACAAATAGAGCTTTCTTTTGGTTGTATTTGATCGCCATGTTTTTTTATTATTATTTTTATATATTTTTACTATTATTATTATATAAATGAAAAAATACAGAAAATTTTGAAAAAAATATATGTTCTACTTTCTTCATAAAATAACAATAAAAAAAATGCAAATAATCAAAACTGTGAAAAATGATATGTAAAAGTCCAAAGAAAAAGTCCCAAATTAAAGTCCAATGTCCCGCAAAATGTGAAAAAATTATTATTTACTCTGTCTACAGCGCCCCTCCTCTGCCACCAGAGTGACTTCTGCCTCCTGCACACATCTCATTGGGCCCCCTACTGACCCTGGGCCCTCGGGCAGTGCCCAAGTTTCCAAATGGTCAGTCTGCCCCTGTCTACAGCGCCCCTCCTCTGCCACCAGAGCGACTTCTGCCTCCTGCACACCCCAGAGGGCGATTTTCCCAGTGAAGGAGCCGTGTGAACAGCAAGCTTTTACAAGGCATCTGCAGAGCTTTCAGCTGGCTTCGTTGAAGCTGTTAAAGCGCCCCTCAGCTCCTGTCCGGAATACACAGATCTAATGCAGGCCATACTCGGTTCGAATTCTGAACGAGCCGTGACCCGGAAGGAGCAGAAGTTTCGCCTGTTATATGGAGTGAACTTTATGACTTGGTCAGCTGATTTTTTAAATCATTGATGGCGCCATCGGATTACCAAGCGAATGACATTTTCGATTTTTGGATGGAAAATCGTTCAGAATTCGAACCGTGTATGGCCTGCATTAGATCTGTGTATGACGTTTCCGAACAGGAGCTGAGGGGCGCTTTAACAGCTTCAACGAAGCCAGCTGACAGCTCTGCAGATGCCTTGTAAAAGCTCGCTGTTCACACGGCTCCTATACAGGGAAAATCGCCCTTTGGGGTGTGCAGGAGGCAGAAGTCGCTCTGGTGGCGGAGGAGGGGCGCTGTAGACGGGCGGACTGACCATTTGGAAACTTGGGCACTGCCCGAGGGCCCAGGGTCAGTAGGGGGCCTAATGAGATGCCCCTGGTACCTTTTTCATAGGTTTTTTTGAGTTTGGGCAAGGACACAGGGGCCCCATGATCCCCTATTACCCGGGGGCCCCATGAGTTGTCAGTCCGCCCCTGGCTGTAGGCATGAGCGGGGGGGGGGGGGGGCACGTTGTCCTCATCTCCCAAACATTCAACAACAGGATCTCTGGTGGGAGCTAAAACTTTACTTTAGTTAATCATTATTCCTGTCCGGGCAGGTCGGTGGTGGAAGGTGTCATGGTATGTACATAGGCGGTGTCATTGATTGAACAGATCTGCAGGAGGGGTGGCCCTGTGATGAGAGGTCAGAGTCCTCCTGAAGGAAGCATGGAGGGGCCAAGCTGGAGGAAGCTGGAGAGACAGGTGAGCAGACACCCAACCATCCCACACACCTGGATGGATCAGTGACACCACCGACAACAGATACCGTCACCACCAGGGGCGGACTGACAACCCATGAGGCCCCTGGGCAATAGGGGATCATGGGGCCCCTGTGTCCTTGCCCAAACTCAAAAAAGCCTATGAAAAAGGTACCAGGGGCATCTCATGGGGCCCCCTACTGACCCCGGGCCCTCGGGCAGTGCCCGAGTTTCCAAATGGTCAGTCCGCCCCTGGTCACCATAAACCAACTGTCTGTGTAGCTCCAACGAAGGGCAACGCCGGCCGAGACTTTCTGCTGTTAGCATTCCATAGAGCGAGGAAGGGTCGGATCCACCGTCAGAGTATTCTAGCTCACTGTGTCCCCTTTAGGGAGATTTTCCCTCACTTCCTGTCCTGGTGACCACACAGGAAGTAGGGAATCTTTGCACAAGGTATAGCCACCCCCAAACACATACTTGTCAGGTGACGGCCCCTGGACAGTCCATTGCAGTGCGCTTTAACAGGCACTGTAATAACTTGCCACCACAGTCCGGGAATTGGATCTGCGCAATCTTTTGTAATGCGGTGCAGCACATCGAGTGGTGGTGTGTCGTGCTGGCGGGTTTCTGAAATGCAGCACAACTCAGGGGGGGTGAATGGGTCCTTCTGGTGGGTTCAGGGCCAACAACGCCACTGATGCCTACAGAGGCCAGAGCACCACACCAGAATTGTATTCTCACATTATACCTGCTGTACAGCAGAGCCGGATCTGGTCTGGGGGTGACCTACCAAAAATTCAGGGGGGCAGAATGTCAGCGCTGTGTGGGAGTCCCTGAACATCTGTCCCATGGAGACACCACCTGGGAAACACCTGTATGTACTGGGCTGTCATTAGATTGGGGGGGTTTAACAGGACCTGTACCCCCTTATATCAGAAGTCCCCATCAGAGTGCCCCCTTTCATCAGGTGTCCCCATCAGAGTGCCCCCTTACATCAGGGTCCCCATCAGAGTGCCCCCTTTCATCAGGTGTCCCCATCAGAGTGCCTCCTTAAATCAGGTGTCCCCATCAGAGTGCCCCCTTACATCAGGTGTCCCCATCAGTGTGCCTCCTTACATCAGTTGTCCCCATCAGAGTGCCCCCTTACATCAGGTGTCCCCATCAGAGTGCCCCCTTACATCAGGTGTCCCCATCAGAGAGCCCCCTTACATCAGGTGTCCCCATCAGAGTGCCCCCTTACATCAGGTGTCCCCATCAGAGAGCCCCCTTACATCAGGTGTCCCCATCAGAGTGCCCCCTTACATCAGGTGTCCCCATCAGAGTGCCCCCTTACATCAGGTGTCCCCATCAGAGAGCCCCCTTACATCAGGTGTCCCCATCAGAGAGCCCCTTTACATCAGATGTCCCCATCAGAGTACCACTTTACATCAGAGTGCCCCCTCACATCAGTTGTCCCCATCACAGTGCCCCCTTACATCAGTTGTCCCCATCACAGTGCCCCCTTACATCAGATGTTCCCATCAAAGTGCCCCCTTACATCTGATGTCTCCATCAGAGTGCCCCCTTACATCAGATGTCCCCATCAGAGTGCCCCCTTACATCAGTTGTCCCCATCACAGTGCCCCCTTACATCAGTTGTCCCCATCACAGTGCCCCCTTACATCAGTTGTCCCCATCAGAGTGCCCCCTTACATCAGATGTTCCCATCAGAGTGCCCCCTTACATCAGTGTCCCCATCAGAGTGCCCCCTTACATCAGTTGTCCCCATCAGACTGGCTCATGGATCAGTGGAAGAATTGTCAGAGACTTGGGGGCACCCCAGCCCCCCTAGATCTGGGTCTGCCGGGGCTACAGGAGGCTGCCACCAGGGCCCAGTGAGAAGCTTGTATTCAGAATATATATTTATTGATGGAGTTGCAGTAAATCATTTGTGTGTGCGGAGTGCCGCTTTATGTCCCGCTCTTTGTGTTTCCAGGATCTGGAGTGTCAGTACTCCCCCAGTTGCTGGTCCCATCGCATGGACAAGGACACCGTGATAGAGGCTCATGTCCGGGAGACAAGAGAAGGTGAGGGACACCCCGGGGACGATCCCTCCCCCTCCCCCCACATACACTGTTTCAGGTTTAGATATTGTGATGAAGAGTTACATTTCTGTCTGTGACCCCACAGAGGAGATTTTTCCTCTCTTCCTGTCCCCGTGACACCTTGCCGAGCCGCTGTCATTGGGGCAGGAAGCCATGATCAGAAAAAAAAAAAAAAAACATTGTCAGAAGTTCTGACCCCTCACTTGGGGTTTTTTTTTTTGTCCCCATTTGGGAGATTTCCAATGACTTCCTGTCCTCACAGGAAATGAAGAAAAATCTCCCCAAGTGAAGCTAGAAATCTGATGATCTAACCCCACCCCCACCTCAAAACAAACCGGTTCTATTGGATGCTGCGCCCTCTATTGGGCTCACAGTAAATCAGGATAACAGCCAGCTGATTCTGCTGACAAAGCAGCCATTACACACAATGCAGTTCCACCCAGGAGCAGCATCAGCAGCCCCGCCTTCTGACACCAGTCACGGGGCCCTGCCTGCTGACAAAAGTCACTGGGCCCCGCCTTCTGACACCAGTCACTGGGCCCCGCCTTCTGACACCAGTCACTGGGCCCCGCCTTCTGACACCAGTCACTGGGCCCCGCCTTCTGACACCAGTCATGGGGCCCTCGCCTTCTGACACCAGTCACTGGGCCCCGCCTTCTGACACCAGTCACTGGACCCCGCCTTCTGACACCAGTCACGGGGCCCCCGCCTTCTGATACCAGGCACTGGGCCCCGCCTTCAGACACCAGTCACTGGGCCCCGCCTTCTGACACCAGGCACTGGGCCCCGCCTTCGGACACCAGTCACTGGGCCCCGCCTTCTGACACCAGTCCCACCCTCTGACACCAGTCACTGGGCCCCGCCTTCTGACACCAGTCCTCCCAGTGAGAACTGATAATTCCCCAGTACTGGTAGCACTGGTCATTTCCAACCCTTAGCCCGGGAGGTCAGTAGCCCCGGGGGAGGGAGAAGGTTCTCTCACAGAGCAGGTAGACTGGAGTGGAGCCAGGCGGTGCGCGGCGTCCTCGCGCGTTGCGTCAACATGCGTTGCATCAAAGCAGTTTGTAACGCCAATATGTAATGCCAACATTTCCTCCCCCGCTCTGCGCCGGCTGTACCGTGGACTGCTATGATGCAGTCTCCTGTGTGCAAGCCCTGGTGTTCCTGCCACTCCCTCTAAAAACTGACCACACTAGGCATGAGAGCTCAGTGTGGTCAGTTCTCTAGCTGTGCTGGGAACTCAGCCTGCTCTCCTCCAATCATCAGACGTGTCCTGACACGCCTCCCCTCCCCCCGCACAGCCATTCACTGGGGAGCTCCGTGTTCTGCTGTTTCTCCTCCCCCAGCTCTTATGCAGCCGAGAACAGAGAGAATGTGATCACTCATACAGGGAGAGAAGGTTTTGCCTTTCATTTCTATTGTAAATGGTTTTACAAGGTGAGGATTGTCATTTACTGCGTGCAGCAAAGTAACGCCCCTGACAGTGATGGTGTGTATATATGGAGGGGAGCCCCGAGAGTGCGCTGCCCTCTGCTGCTGCCTACATTGCCTTTCCACAAACCCCCGCCTGACAACATTGCTGCTCACATGTCTAATAAACAATCGCACATACAACGCATATCACCACACATGTACTGCACCAGGGGCGGACTGACAACTCATGGGGCCCCTGGGCAATAGGGGATCATGGGGCCCCTGTGTCCTTGCCCAAACTCAGAAAAGCCTATGAAAAAGGTACCAGGGACATCTCATGGGGCCCCCTACTGATCCCGGGCCCTCGGGCAGTGCCTGAGTTTCCAAATGGTCAGTCCGCACCTGTACTGCACACGTCACACGTACAGTGCCCATATAACATGCACATACCACATACACACTGCATATATATGGCACAGACACTGCACATCACCACACATTGCCACACATATACTGCACACACACCACCACACATGTACCGCACATACACTGCACATATACTGCATATACACTGCGTTGCACAATCAACGCAATACACTACACATACAATGCCAATACAGTGCACATACACAGCACATATCACACGTACACCCGCACATATATCACATGTACACCACACATATATCACATGTACACCATGCACATATCAAACATACACTACACATATCACGCATACGTCGCACACATATCACACATACACTACACACATACACCGGGCATATATCACACATACTTCGCACACATATCACACGTATGTCGCACACATACACTACAGATATCACACGTACGTCGCACACATACACAGCACATATCACACGTACGTTGCACACATATCACACGTACATCACGCACATATTACACATACACTGCTCATATCACACGTACTTTGCACACATATCACACGTACGTCGCACACATATCACACATACACTGCACATATCACACGTATGCCTCACACCTATCACACGTATGCCGTGCACATATCACACATACGTCGCACATATCACGCATATGTCGCACATATCACACATATGTTGAGCACATATCACACCTATGCCGCACATATCATATGTATGTCCTGCACATATCACACGTATGCCGCACATATCACACATACACTGCACATATCACACGTACGCCGCACATATCACACGTACACTGCACATATCACACATACGCCGCACATATCACACGCTCTCTCATCCATCCTTCCAGACGGCCCACTGATAAGTCTCCGGTTGTCACCTGTCAGGATAGGCCGTCATCCTGCAGTCACCTGTCCTATCACATGTCCTCTGATTGTACCATGTGTCCGGCAGGAACACGGATGGCCCGGGCGGTGACACACCCTGCGCTGAATATCCAATATGGAGACCGGGAGAGTGAGAAGATGGACATGTACCTCCCGGAGCTGACATCACACACCTCCAGAGGCAAAGGTGACACATGTTCCAGGACTTCCAGTGAATCTGTTAGCAGATGTGGCGGCTGCATTACTTTTCCTTTGTTTTCACCTGGTGATCCTGCCAGTAACACACTTCCCTGTCCTAGGGTGACAACGCTCACTATACTCTGCCTATGGAGGAGCAGTGTTGTCACCCTAGGCTGCTCTCCTGATGTGGACTACAAACACCTCCCCCCTCCCCTCCATTACAGAGACTAGTGCTGTTCTGTCATTTCCAGGGAAGCCGATGATTTCAGAAAGTCAGAAATCCGACCCCCCCGGTGACCACAGGCTCCGCCTTCCAGCGTTTCCTCTCTGCTGGTGTATATTCATGGAGGATACTGGCAGTTCCTCAGGTAAGTAAGCTGTCCGTCACACTTGTAGCAGCCAATGAGCTGCTCCGATTCTCTTCCATCTGAACTCCATCCTCCTGGTGTACCGGCTCCTCTCCTGCACTGAAATGGCTTCCCCCCCAGCAACAGTAGATCCACCCCAGGAGCAATTTGATGCCTTTCAAAAAAATGCACCCAGCAACACTTGACCCCCCAGCAGCAACAGTAGATACCTTGCAACAAAATACACCCCCCCTCGGCAACAATAGATCCATCTCAGCAACAATAGACCTCCTGACAGCAACTTAGATCTCCCCAGCAACAATAGCCCCCCTCCTCAATAGTAGATCTCTCAGTAACAATAGATCCCTGCCAGCAATATAGACCTTCCATCAGCACGCTTCAATAGACCCTCCAGCATCCAAAAACAATAGACCCCTCCCTCAACAGTAGATCTCTCACAGCAACAATAGACCCCCTCCCCCAGCAACAACAGATGACTTGAAACAAAATACCCCCCCTACCTTTCCCAGCAACAATAGAGTCCTGCCAGCAACTTAGACCCCCCAGCATCCAAAAACAATAGACCACTCCCGCAACAGTAGATCTCTCACAGCAACAATAGACCCCCTCCCCCAGCAACAACAGATGACTTGAAACAAAATACCCCCCTACCTTTCCCAGCAACAATAGAGTCCTGCCAGCAACTTAGACCCCCCAGCATCCAAAAACAATAGACCACTCCCCACTCCCACAACAGTAGATCTCTTCCAGCACAATAGAATAGACCCTCCCAGCAACAATAGATTACTTTCAACAGAAAAAATTGCAACAATAGATCCACCCCAGCAACAATAGATGCCTTGAAACAAAATACTCCCCTGCCTTTCCCAGCAATAATAGATCCAGCCCAGAAACAATAGACACTTGCCAGCAACTTAGATCTCCCAGAATTCAGCAATAATAGGCCCCTCCCTCAACCATAGATCTCTTGCCACCAATGGAGACTCCCCCAGCAATATATCCTCCATCAGCAACAATAGACCCAACAATTCAGATCTTCTAGCAGCAAGCATCAATAAACCCTCCAGCATCCAGAAACAATAGACCCTTCTCTCAACAGTAGATCTTACCCAGCAACAGTAGAATAGACACCCCCCCCCCAGCAACAATAGGTGCCTTTCAACAAAATACCCCAGCAACAATAGATCCACCCCAGCAACAATAGATGTCTTGAAACATTATACCCCCCCCCCCCCCCAGCAACAATAAATATGTTTCAACAAAATACCAGCAGCAACAATAGACCACTGCCAGCAACTTATATACCCCCCAGCATTCAGAAACAATAGACCCCTCCAAAAACAGTATCTCTTGGGAATAATTATACCCCCGGCAAAAACAGACCCCCCCAGCAACAATAAATGCTTTGCAGCAAAATACCCCCAGCAACAATAGACTACTGCTAGCAACTTATAACCCCCCAGCATTCAGAAACAATAGACCCCTTCAAAAACAGTATCTCTTGGGAATAATTATACCCCCGGCAACAAAACATCCCCCACCAGCAACAATAGATCCCTGCCAGCACTATAGACCTTCCAGCAGCATGCTTCAATAGACCCTCCAGCATCCAGAAACAATAGACCCCTCCATCAACAGTAGATCTCTCCCAGCAACAATAGACCCTTCTTCCCCCCTCAGCATCAATAGATCCCCCTGAAGCAACCAACATCAATAAATCCTTCTCTGACTTTTTTTTCTCTTCTGTGGTTAGTAAGGAGGAGTCGGGATTTGCGGCGCCCCCGCTGGTGTCTCATGGTATTGCAGTGATGGCGATGGATTACGATATCGCTCCTGGAGGTGAGAGCGGAAATCAAATCGATCGTCTTCCGGACCCCTCGCAATATTCTGACTTGGTGTCGTTCTCTCAGGTGACATGGACCTCATGGTGTCGCAGGTCAGACGCAGCATCGTCGCCGTTCTTCAACGCTTCCCGCAGATCACGTACGTTTCCTGCAAACTCTTTACTTCTACTTCATAAATTGTTTGTTTAAGATTTTTATGTAAGGAAGGAAAATGTCACCGGAGAGGAGGATTGATCGATGAGATACATTGTATCCAATGACAGAACGATCGATATCGCGGAGGAGGTCATGAACTGTAGCGGCTTCTTTGTATGGATCGTTCACAACCAAATGTAATGAAATCGGTCAGATCTGAGGGGTCGATGTATGAAAAACTACTTCTGTGACTGTCACCCATCATTCCTGTGATTGACCGATTTCCTGTAATCGTCAGCGCCATCTAGTGGCCATAATGTGGTATTTTCCTGAAATGCCTCAATCAGGAAATGAAGAAAACACCTAATTATGGCCTCTAGATGGCCTTGGTATTTTATAGTGCAGACAAGGGGCCCCAATAGTATAAAGTGCTGACAAGGGGCCCCCAATAGTATAAAGTGCAGACAAGGGGCCCCCATAGTATAAAGTGCAGACAAGGGGCCCCCATAGTATAAAGTGCTGACAAGGGGCCCCCAATAGTATAAAGTGCTGACAAGGGGCCCCCAATAGTTTAAAGTGCAGACATGGGGCCCCCAATAGTATAAAGTGCAGACAAGGGGCCCCCAATAGTATAAAGTGCAGACAAGGGCCCCCCAATAGTATAAAGTACAGACAATGGGCCCCAGTAGTGTGAAATGCAGATTGAAAATGCAACCAAATGTAAATGTATCCGGGAATGTTCTCTGCAGATCCATCTACCTGTGTGGACATTCTGCCGGGGCCCACCTGGCAGCCATGACGCTGAGCACAGACTGGTCACAGTGTGTGGGGGGGACGCCACTCCGGACATCAGAGGTCAGTGCCAGACATTAATATTCATCTCTATCCCCTGATAAGAAGTTGGAGGGGAACCCAGAACAGAGATGACCCCCGAGAGATTTGTAGAAAGAGTTCCATCACCCCCCCCCCCTCCACTCCTGTTCCATCCTATCACCCCCCCCCCTCCACTCCTGTTCCATCCTATCACCCCCCCCCAACCACTCCTGTTCCATCCTATCACACCCCCCCCTCCACTCCTGTTCCATCCTATCACCCCCCCCCCCCCCCCCTCCACTCCTGTTCCATCCTATTACCCCCCCCCTCCACTCCTGTTCCATCCTATCACCCCCCCCCCCACCCACTCCTGTTCCATCCTATCACCCCCCCCCCCCCCCCCTCCACTCCAGTTCCATCCTATCACCCCCCCCCCCCCCCCCCTCCAATTCCATCTTATCACCCCCCTCCCCCTCCACTCCAGTTCCATCCTATCACCCCCCCCCCCTCCAATTAAATTCCATCACCCCCCCTCCTCCACTCCAGTTCCATCCCATCACCCCCCCTCCAATTAAATCCCATCACCCCCCCCTCCTCCACTCCAGTTCCATCCCATCACCCCCCCCCCCCCCCTCCAATTCCATCCTATCACCCCCCCCCCCCCCCTCCTCCACTCCAGTTCCATCCTATCATCCCCCCCCCCTCCACTTCAGTTCCATCTTATCATCCCCCCCCCTCCACTCCAGATCCATCTTATCACCCCCTCCCCCTTCAATTCCATCTTCTCACCCCCTCCACTCCACTCCAGTTCCATCGTCTCACACACCCCGTCACTCCAGATCCATCTTATCACCACCCCCCCCCCCCTTCAATTCCATCTTCTCACCCCCCCCCTCCACTCCTGTTCCATCCTATCACCCCCCCCCCTCCACTCCTGTTCCATCCTATCACCCCCCCCCCCCCACTCCAGTTCCATCCTATCACCCCCCCTTCCAATTCCATCCTATCACCCCCCTCCCCCCCCCACTCCACTCCAGTTCCATCTTCTCACACCCCCCTTCACTCCAGATCCATCTTATCACCCCCCTCCAATTCCATCTTCTCACCCCCCCCTCCACTCCACTCCAGTTCCATCTTATCACGCCCCACAAACACACACACACTCCAATTCCATCTTATCACCCCCCCCCCCTCCACTCCAATTCCATCTTATCACCCCCTCCTCCACTCCAATTCCATCTTATCACCCCCCCCCCCCTCCTCCACTCCAATTCCATCTTATCACCCCCCCCCCCCTCCTCCACTCCAATTCCATCTTATCACCCCCCACTGTTTGCTCGTTTGAAATATTACAAAGTGACCCATTACTGGAGTGTGCGGAGTGCAGCACATTGCGACACCCTGACATACGGCGGGATATTCTGCGACACATCAGAACGCAGCGTGTGAAATGGGAACAATTGTTTAGGATGGGCCCTGGCATTGATCCTGCGTTCATTGATTGATTGATCCTGTAGATCTCTGATTGGTTGATTGTTTTCATTTTCTGACTCTTCTCCCTCCATCTGTCCCCCCAGGGGCCCTCCTGGTCAGCGGAGTGTATGACCTGCTCCCCATCACCCACACCTACGTCAATGACGCCATAAAGATGTCCCAGTAAGAAGGTTTCTTCTTCCCTAATGCTGAGCGCAGTTATCCGTAACAGCCAATCAGAATGTATCCTTCTGTCATACCAACTTCTCGCAGCTGATGACAGCTGAAATCTGATTGGCTGCTAAGCACTAATACTTATCATCATTGCTGACGTGCATTAGTGCCGGTTCACACTACAGCCCAGATGCGTTCCGGACGCGTTTCCCCATGCGCGGTTTTGATGCTTTTTTGACACATTCTGGTGCATTTTTTCCTCTCTTTTTCAATTGAAATAGGCACATGTGCATTGAGGTGCATTTTCGATGCATTTCACAGTGTCCCAGTACAGGTCTGTGCAGGAAAAACGCAGCCTGTTCTACTGGAACTGCCAGCCCTGATGTGAACTATGACACTGACAACCAGATCACCGACTTTCTGTGCGTTTTGGATGCAGAAAAAAGCAACTGAAACACATGGAGTGTGAACTGCCCCTTAAACCTAATATTACTTCACTATGAATGGTGGGTGAAACGCAGCAGCCAATCAGAGAGCAGCTTTTACTACTTTGGTAGAACATCTGTGTTCCCAGAACAGGATGAGGCCAGGGGCGGACTGACAACTCATGGGGCCCCCGGGCAATAGGGGATTATGGGGCCCCCGTGTCCTCACCTACACTCAAACCACACTCAAAAAAGCCTATGAAACAAACCAGGGGCATCTCATGGGGCCCCTTGCTGACCCCGGGCCCTCGGACAGTGCCCAAGTGCCCGAATGGTCAGTCCGCCCCTGGACGAGGCAAATATAATGGAATGTAAATCATTTATGTGTTCCGTCACAAGTTCTGAAATAAATCTTCATGCAGCTGATGCAGGTACACTGTATTGGCCCCGCCCTCCCAATCATGTGATTCGGGTGTTCCAATCCCCTCCATATCATGTGATTCAGGTGTTCCAATCCCCTCCCAATCATGTGATTCAGGTGTTCCAATCCCCTCCCAATCATGTGATTCAGGTGTTCCAATCCCCTCCCAATCATGTGATTCAGGTGCTCCAATCCCCTCCCAGTCATGTGATTCAGGTGCTCCAATCCCCTCCATGGACACAGGTGTATACAATCAGGCCCCTAGGCATGCAGACGGCTTCTACAAACATTGGTGAAAGAATGGGTCGCTCTCAGGAGCTCAGTGACTCCAAGCGTGGGTCCCGTGATAGGTGGCCACCTGGGCAATAAGTCCATCCGTGACATTTCCTGGCTACTAAATATTCCACGCTCAACTGTTAGTGGGATTATAACAAAGTGGAAGCCACTGGGAACAACAGCCACTCAGCCACCAAGTGGTAGGCTACGTCACATGACAGGGCGGGGTCAGCGCATGCTGAAGCGCACAGTGCGCAGAAGTCACCAACTGTCTGCAGAGTCAATAGCTAAAGACCTCCAAACTTGGTGTGGCCTTCAGATGAGCCCAACAACAGTGCGTAGAGAGCTTCATGGAATGGGTTTCCATGGCCGAGCAGCTGCATCCAAGCCTTCCATCACCAAGTGCAATGCAAAGCGTCGGATGCCGTGGTGTAAAGCACGCCGCCACTGGACTCTAGAGCAGAGGAGATGTGTTCTCTGGAGTGACCAATCACGCGTCTCTGTCTGGAAATCCGATGGATGTGTCAGGGTTTGGTGGTTGCCAGGAGAACGGTACTTGCCTGACTGCATTGTGCCAAGTGTAAAGTTTGGTGGAGGGGGGATTATGATGTGGGGGTGTTTTTCAGGGGTTGGGCTTGGCCCCCTAGTTCCAGTGAAGGGAACTCTTAAGGTGACATTTTGGACAATTTCATGCTCCCAACTTTGTGGGAAGAGTTTGGGGATGGCCCCTTCCTGTTCCAACATGACTGCCCACCAGTGCACAAAGCAAGGTCCATAAAGACATGGAGGAGCCAGTTTGGGGTGGAGGAACTTGACTGTCCTGCACAGAGTCCTGACCTCAACCCCATAGAACACCTTTGGGATGAATTAGAGCGGAGACTGCGAGCCAGGCCTCCTCCCCCGACATCAGTGCCTGACCTCACAAATGTGCTTCTGGAAGAATGGTCCAACCTTCCCATAGACACCCTCCTAAACCTTGTGGACGGCCTTCCCAGAAGAGGTGAAGCTGTTATAGCTGCAAAGGGCGGGGCCAACTCAATATTGAACCCTACGGACCAAGACTGGGGGGCCATTAAAGGTCATGTGTGTGGAAAGGGCGGGGCCAACTCAATATTGAACCCTACAGACTAAGACTGGGGGGCCATTAAAGGTCATGTGAGGGGAAAGGGCGGGACCAACTCAATATTGAACCCTATGGACTAAGACTGGGGGGGCATTAAAGGTCATGTGAGGGGAAAGGGCGGGACCAACTCAATATTGAACCCTATGGACTAAGACTGGGGGGGCATTAATGGTCATGTGTGTGGAAAGGCCGGTAACCCAATACTTTGGGCAATATAGTGTACTTTGAATCTGTCCTCATATGGAGTTGCAACATGCCGGCCAAAAGCTAAAATCAGCTTTGCTGTGGGAGGGGCTACTCTGTAAGCCTATGGACATTGCCATCAGATATATATTTTCATACAAAGTCCATGCATGCTGAGTGATGTGTCAGTGTGACCCTTCCAGGTATTTATTCCCTCTCCCAGAGATAACAGGACTCCCCCTGACAATGTCTTCACCTGATCTTCTCTCCAGAAGGATGGCGCCATCTTTGTTCTGGCATCATCCAGAGTCACCATCTACTTCCTGGACAGAGATGCCGGCTTAGAGATGACACAATCATGTAAATGCTGGTGCCTGTGCAGTTCTTGGCTGTGTTCACAAATGTCTGACACAGATCAGCCCCTGACGAAGCCTCTCACCTTGTGACTTGCTACAAAGTTGCAATGTACAGTCTGATCACTGGGGGAGGGGGAGCCTGAGGAAATGACTCCTCCTTCTACAAAGTTACAATGTACAGTCTAATCACTGGGGGAGGGGCTGAGGAAATGACTCCTCCTCCTTCTACAAAGTTACAATGTACAGTCTGATCACTGGGGGAGGGGAGACTGAGGAAATGCTTCTTCCTCCTTCTACAAAGCTACAATGTACAGTCTGATTACTGAGGGAGGGGAGACTGAGGAAATGTCTACTCCTCCTTCTACAAAGTTACAGTTTACAGTCTGATCACTGGGGGAGGGGAGGCTGAGGAAATGCTCCTCCTACTTCTACAAAGTTACAATGTACAGTCTGATCACTGGGGGAGGGGAGACTGAGGAAATGACTCCTCCTCCTTCTACAATGTACAGTCTGATCACTAGGGAAGGGAGACTGAGGAAATGCTTCCCCCTGCCTGCAGCAGACGGATGACATCATCTCAGCCTAGGCACAGTTTCTGGACTGACAGGTGAGTAATATATTTTTGCAGACTGTGGATGACACTTCTCTTCTTCCACAGGGAGGTGGCAATAAGGAATAGCCCCATACAACTTACAGCACTGCTGAAAAACCATGCAAACAACTGCCAGATGACCATTGCAGTGGCTGAGCATGATTCTCCGGAGTTCCACAGACAATCGCTGGAATATTTCCAGGTAACTCTCTGTATAAAGCACATCCTCTGGGACATGTGGGGAATGGGCAGTAAAATCCATTCCCACCTTCAGGGGGCGCATTCCGTTCCCAGAGAGCTGTGCACTAATGAGGGCTCAGCTGCCCCACCCCCGAGGATGCAGCACAGCTCAGTGTACAGTGCTGTCCACTAGGGGCTCCTGGAGCAGCTCACTGCCCTGAGGACACATGTGCATCCCTGCTATGCATGGATTGTCATTGCTGTCATGTCTGAACATGCTCGCTGCCTGGCTGTCATTGTTGTGTCTGAACATGCTCACTGCCTGGCTGTCATTGTTGTGTCTGAACATGCTCGCTGCCTGGCTGTCATTGCTGATGCGTCTGAACATGCTCGCTGCCTGGCTGTCATTGCTGATGCGTCTGAACATGCTCGCTGCCTGGCTGTCATTGTTGTGTCTGAAGATGCTCGCTGCCTGGCTGTCATTGCTGATGCATCTGAACATGCTCGTTGCCTGGCTGTCATTGCTGATGCATCTGAACATGCTCACTGCCTGGCTGTCATTGCTGATGCATCTGAACATGCTCACTGCCTGGCTGTCCTTGCTGACATGTCTGAACATGCTCATTGCCTGGCTATCATTGCTGATGCGCCTGAACATGCTCACTGTCTGGCTGTCTTTGCTGCCATGTTTAAACATGCTCACTGCCTGGCTGTCTTTGCTGCCATGTTTAAACATGCTCATTGCCTGGCTGTCATTGCTGATGCATCTGAACATGCTCGCTGCCTGGCTGTCATTGTTGCCGTGTCTGAACATGCTCACTGCCTGGCTGTCCTTGCTGACATGTATGAACATGCTCACTGCCTGGCTGTCCTTGCTGACATGTCTGAACATGCTCACTGCCTGGCTGTCCTTGCTGACATGTCTGAACATGCTCACTGTCTGGCTGCTTTGTTTATAAATCTGATTCTCAGAATTCCATCTACAGAGGTTTAAATGACATTTTCCATCCATTTTTTTTCTCTGCAGAGTCTGAAGGATTTGGGCCTCGCCGTCTCCTATCAGAGGGTGGAGGACACGGATCACTTTGATGTCGTAGAACGCTTATCTCAGGATGGATATGTTCTCACTCAGGTGAGATCTGCACCCGCCCCATGTGTCTATACCTGCCCCATGTGTCTATACCCTCCCCATGTGTCTATACCCGCCTCATGTGTCTATACCCGCCTCATGTGTCTATACCCGCCCCATGTGTCTATACCCGCCCCATGTGTCTATACAACACACCCTCCATGCTGGGTTACTTGTTACCAAACCATGTCAGTGAGTGCCGCAGAGCAGACACACGCAGTTGTTTGCAGCAAATGTCTTTCATTTATTCTCCAGATACATCATAATAGACGGGTGAACTCTCTGCTGCAACACTCACCTTCAGTCCAGAGCTGTCCTCTGCACTACTTTTTCTCTGCCTGTAGATGGCAGCAATCATTGAGGCTGAGAGCCCATTTACTTTCCTGCTTTGTGTAAAAGCCGTATTAACCCCAAAAATAAACATTTATGATATTGCAGTGTACTGAGGGCACAATACTTGGGGTGTCAGGAGGGCACAGTACTGGGGGTGTCTGGAGGGCACAGTATTGGGGGTGTCAGGAGGGCACATTACTGGGATCAGGAGGGCACAGTACTGGGGGTGTCAGGAGGTCACAGTACTGGGGGTGTCTGGAGGGCACACTACTGGGGGTGTCAGGAGGGCACAGTACTGGGATCAGGAGGGCACATTACTGGGATCAGGAGGGCACAGTACTGGGGGTGTCTGGAGGGCACAGTACTGGGGGTGTCTGGAGGGCACAGTACTGGGGGAGTCTGGAGGGCACATTACTGGGATCAGGAGGTCACAGTACTGGGGGAGCCTGGAGGGCACATTACTGGGATCAGGAGGGCACAGTACTGGGGGTGGCAGGAGGGCACAGTACTGGGGGTGGCAGGAGGGCACAGTACTGGGGGTGTCAGGAGGACACAGTACAGGGGGTGTCTGGAGGGCACAGTACTGGGGGTGTCTGGAGGGCACAGTACTTGGGGTGTCTGGAGGGCACAGTACTGGGGGTGTCAGGAGGACACAGTATTGGCGTGTCTGGAGGGCACAGTACTTGGGGTGTCTGGAGGGCACAGTACTTGAGGTGTCTGGAGGGCACAGTACTGGGGGTGTCAGGAGGGCACAGTATTGGGGTGTCTGGAGGGCACAGTACTTGGGGTGTCTGGAGGGCACACTACTTGGGGTGTCAGGCGGGCACACTACTGGGGGTGTCTGGAGGGCACAGTACTGGGGGTATCTGGAGGGCACACTACTGGGGGTGTCAGGAGGGCACAGTACTGGGGGTATCTGGAGGGCACACTACTGGGGGTGTCAGGAGGGCACAGTACTGGGGGAGTTCGGAGGGCACATTACTGGGATCAGGAGGGCACTGTACTGGGATCAGGAGGGCACAGTACAGCGGGAGTCAGGAGGGCACATTACTGTGATCAGGAGGGCACATTACTGTGATCAGGAGGGCACATTACTGGGATCAGGAGGGCACAGTACAGGGATCAGGAGGGCACAGTCCTGGGGGTGTCAGGAGGGCACAGTACTGGGATCAGGAGGGCACAGTACAGGGATCAGGAGGGGACAGTACTGGGATCAGGAGGACACAGTACAGATTCTGGGACACTGCCCGAGACAGCTTTGTCCTGGCAAATCAGGGACAGTCGGCAAGTATGATGTAATGCAAGATTATCATGGGGCCCCCATGCACCTGGGGCCCCTGGGCAGTGCCCAGCAGTGCTCATGCATCAAGACAGCCCTGTACACTACTCTGCATTATAACACGCTACAACACAGGGATGTCACCTTTGTGCGTCAACTGCCATTCAAAATGAATGCCCTGCAATGCATGTCACCAGGACATGGAAGTGGCCCCGAGTTATGGCCAGCATCGCTCAGCTCAGTCGTGAACGCACCTCCAGGATGCTCCAGCATCAGGTCACCTCTGGGCACCAATTTAGCAGCTGGAATAACCCAACAACTGGAGAGGATATTCCAAGAATTAGGATTCCCGGATTCCAGAGCCTTCTCTCTCTAGTGTAGCACTGTGAACCCTGATAATGGGTCATATATTACCCCCGCCGTGGTTCCCGGGCTCTCCCATTCCTCTGCATAGCCTGAGACCAGCGGGTGAAAATGCGGAGATGGGAACCTGTCCCTTAGGAAATCATGGTAAATGGACTGTACTGCATTTCGGCAAAACGTAAAATGCTGCAGAAAACGCTTAGGTGGGAACCCGGGGTAATTGCGCCTCACATGAGGTATCTTTGTGAATATTGGAGTGAGAGAACTGTAAACTGATATCCTGTAAAGGCTTTGGAAGTGTCGCCTATGGACAATTGTATAGTTCTTTGAGTTTAATGGGAGTACACAATTTTTAAGACTTGACATGTTTGGGATCGATTTACTCGACACAACCCAATCTTCTATATTTTAATTGGGTATATTATTTTGGTTTTTTTCAACACAAAAAAGTTGATACTACTATTTTATTCTCCAGGGGCCTCTGCTTTCAGAAAAAAATATACTTTCTTTGGGGGGGGGGGGGGGTTACAGTGAATGCAGATTTTAACATTTGTGCAACAAAAAAATGTAAGACTTGCCCCGGTAGGTGAGTGGTTAACCAGCAGAACTCATTCGAATGCATATTGTGCCGGCACTGATGGCGAGTTTGGTTCTGGCAGTGCAGGTACTGTGCACATGTGTGAGGGGCTGGGAGCTTTAAGATACAGGGACAGCTAACAATGACATGAGCGCCATTTTATGAATGTTGAGCGTTGGCAATGTTACATGTTGGTTTATTTTAGTAATTATTTGTTTCATTTTATTTACAGCTCCTTCTAGAAATGATCTTGAACAAGAGAAGCAAATATCATTAGACCAATGGGAGGCGAATACTGGTGGCATGTGATCAATGGGAGATGAATACTGGGAGTCTGTGATAAATGGGAGACGTATACTAGGAGCATGTGACCAATGGGAAACATATACTGGGAGCATGTGATCAATGGGAGACGAATACTGGGAGCATGTGACCAATGGGAGATGTATACTGGGAGCATGTGACCAATGGGAGATGAATACTGGGAGCATGTGACCAATGGGAGATGAATCCTGGGAGCCTGTGATAAATGGGAGACGTATACTGGGAGCATGTGATCAATGGGGGACAAATACTAGGAGCATGTGACCAATGGGAAACATATACTGGGAGCATGTGATCAATGGGAGACGAATACTGGGAGCATGTGATAAATGGGAGATGAATACTGGGAGCATGTGACCAATGGGAGACGTATACTGGGAGCATGTGATCAATATGAGATGAATACTGGGAGCCTGTGATCAATGGGAGACATATACTGGGAGCATGTGACCAATGGGAGACGTATACTGGGAGCATGTGACCAATGGGAGACGTATACTGGGAGCATGTGATAAATGGGAGATGTATTCTGGGAGCATTTGACCAATGGGAGATGAATACTGGGAGCCTGTGACCAATGGGAGACGAATACTGGGAGCATGCGATAAATGGCAGACGAATACTAGGAGCATGTGACCAATGGAAGACATATACGGGGAGCAATGTGACCAATGGGAGACGAATACTGGGAGCATGTGATCAATGGGAGATGAATACTGGGAGCATGTGACCAATGGGAGACGTATTCTGGGAGCATGTGACCAATGGGAGACATATTCTGGGAGCATGTGATCAATGAGAGACATATTCTGGGAGCATGTGACCAATGGGAGATGTATTCTGGGAGCATGTGATCAATGGGAGACATATTCTGGGAGCATGTGATCAATGGGAGACATATTCTGGGAGCATGTGACCAATGGGAGATGTATTCTGGGAGCATGTGACCAATGGGAGATGTATTCTGGGAGCATGTGACCAATGGGAGATGTATTCTGGGAGCATGTGACCAATGGGAGATGTATTCTGGGAGCATGTGATCAATGAAAGATGTATTCTGGGAGCATGTGATCAATGGGAGACATATTCTGGGAGCATGTGACCAATGGGAGACGTATTCTGGGAGCATGTGACCAATGGGAGATGTATTCTGGGAGCATGTGACCAATGGGAGACGAATACTTGGGT